AGGAAACTGTGCCCGTGATCATCACACAGCTGGTGAGCAGTAGAGCCAGGATTTGAATCCAGTTCTGACTTTTGAGTCTAGCTCTTACTTCTTGTTCTGGAATGGCATGAAAAGCCAAGTTTAAGTGCTGAAAATACACAGACAAATATAACCTCAGGCATTACACTCAATGAAAGGATCCCACAGGACTGAATCATCATGTCCAAATCCTTCATTGTACAGTCAAGAAACCATACAGAATTTAGACTGTAATGTAATACATAAGGAATGGCAGACTCTAGAGTAGATTCGGTAGTGGTGGCTTCACAGAAGTGGTGGGTTATGGGAAGTGCACATAGGATTTGGAGCTAGGAGTCTTGCCTTTCAGTTCCCTCTCTACTAATGATGAATGAGGGAGTTAACTTCGAATCCCGGGGCTGATTCCTTATCCCTATGAGGGGAGTTGTTGAGAAAATCAAATATTATTTTTAAAACACTTTGTAAACTTTTAGAAGCAAAGTTGGTATTAGGGGTATATTGGTACAAATTTGTAATAGGTATTGAAGGATATTCTTTCTACTCTGGTCTTTAAGGTTTTTATTTTTTAAGAACTCTCAACAATGTTGGCCAAAATTTTCTGAAACAAAACACTGACTAAAGGAATAGGTAATGTTTGCATACAAGACTAGTAAAATACAACTGATGATTCTCTGCCTTCATATGCTAAGACTGCATCTTGTGGTGGTAAGAATATGACCTCTAGACAGACTTCTAAGATTGAATCCTAGTTTTGACACCAATAATATGAGTTGGTTGAAATTTCTTGACCTTCTGGTGCTTCAATATCATCATCTATAAAATTGGGAAGACCTTTCTCCCAGTTTTAAGGGACTTTTCAAGTGTTAAATAGAATATGTGTAAAAAAATCCTTGACATAGTTTCAGACACAGAGTAAGCACTTCAGCACTTCAAAAAATGTTAGCAACCATATGCTACACAGGCACCTTTGTTTGAATTGCATATTGGTCCTTATTCATGTCTGTATTCTGAATTGTACATCATTCAGCAGAGTAGAGGTGTCAAATTCTTACCACCAGAAATATTACCCAAAGTGAATTTTCTATTAAAAAATAAATAATTTAGTGTATATTAGTCATCATGCTTTGAGAAATTAGAAGGTTAATTAAATTATTATAAGTCTACAGTGACCTCACAGCTGAGTTAATAAGCTGCAGTTGGTATTAAATATTATTTGCTCTGAGACCCAAGAAAGACCAGAGGAAACATTTTAGAGTTTCAAAGCAAATCTGGGCTATTCTAAAGTCATGGAAGCTTTTACTTAGAAGCCTGTAGGAAATAATCTCAATTTTTTTTTTTTTTTTTTTTTTTTTTTTTTTTTTTTAGGAGACAGTGAAGGAATCTTAGCATCTTGAGCCTATAAACTTTAACTGGTGGCTTGGCATCATGGATATTAGAAGGCTGTTTGTGGAAGTGGTCCCAATTGATCTTTTCCTCCAGGCATCATAAGTCAGACTTTGATTTTCATACACTATTCTGCTCTACAAATTTTGCAGATGGGGCAAACCAGGGACTGAGCATTGGGATGGTTCGTAAATTATGCCCTAATTTGGTAGTTCTTAAAGTTAATGTTGATCAGGAAAACTTATGGATGTTTTTCCAAAACTGAAAAACTAGAGGCTTTTAAAAATACCAGTTACTGGTTTTCACCTCTAAAATTTCTGATTCAGTCAAATGTGCATGTCAGGGAACCACACTTTGAAAACCATGATGATAAATCAAATGCAGAAGTCAGTTGAGTAGAACTAATGAGAACCATTGAAATTCTCATAGAAGGGCCTCCCTGGTGGCACAAGTGGTTAAGCACAGCACTGTTAAGCTGTCTGCATGTGTTCGATCTCCAGCTGACAAGGGAGCTACCCACATGGTGCAGCAGACCTCTCCTGTCTCGCCCACTGCTCCCCTCAGCAGGATATTTCAGTCAGTCTGCCTGTTCTGTTCCCCACTCTGACTCTGGTAAATCCTCTCACTCCCTCTATTCCAGGGCTTGTATATATAAATAAATAGGTCTTTAAAAAAAATTATCCTAACAAACAAATATAATTGATGAGCCATCTTTTATCTTTCTTCAATTTTATCCTCAGTTTTTTTTTGGTAGCTTTTTTAGTAGATGCTTAAGAATATCAGATAAAAGGAATTGTTCTCATTTGAGTAAAAATTGCCCCCCCTCAATAATTCTCTATATAGGCATCTTCCATTCCCCTTTGTTATCTTATATGCTCACCAATTATAAGTCCTATACAATTTACATGGTCAGATAACAAGCAACACATCAGGCAAAGCAGCTTCTGGGTACTTAGAATTAATGTTGCTACTATCTGGCCAGAGACAATACTATTTTTTACTTATATGTGAAAGATTTTTTCCTCATTTTGAAAATTAAGTTTTGAATTAAATAGCTTAATTAGTTAAAATATTCTTTGGAGAATATTATCACTACTCTTTAAATTCTCAAGAAAAAAGCAGAAGGTTGATTATTTTTTAAAAAATAGAGACCTCTTGTGGTCATTCATAAAAATACTTAACAAAACAAACCTGGAGGTTTGTAAGATCTCTAGCTAAAAAAGTTGTAAGATCTCTAGCTAAAAAAGTATATATACAATGTTGTAAATTAATGTTACTTCAATAAAAAAGAAAAAAGTATATACATGTGATTTACCTAATAATTATCAAAAGTTAAGATTAATAATAGCACTTTACATAATGGTAACTTTTATAAATATATACATCATTCAGTCATAACAATTTTATATAAGTTTAAACTTGATCAAAGCAAAGATGAGAATTGTGCAAATCATAACTGTTTCACTCAAGGGATTTCTTCATACTCAATATATCTGTGTAGTCAGCATATCTAGTAAATTTCTAATCATAATTTTATAGGTGACTCTGAAGCTTTGTATACATGTGTGCTATCAAGAGTATGAATACTTGCATTAAATACCAACACAGTAATCAGTCAATTCATTTGGTATTTTCTATATGGCTTTGCTTATGGGAAATGTGAAAAGAAAATGCTCAGTGTTTGATATCCTACACTTTATTGTCAGGGCTAATTTTTAAAAATATTTTGGATAAATTTGACATGTAACATTTTATAAACTTAAGGTGTACAGCATATGTTACTTTGATATATTTTATATTAAGATGTGGTTGCCACTGTAACAATGTTTATCATATTACATATTCATAGTACAATATAATTGTCTATGTTCAATACACCATACATTATATCTTGGAATTTTTTAGCTGCAAGTGACAAATGTCCTCCTAGGAGTGTTGAGTTTATTCAGCTATTGCAGTGATTGAGTAAATGAAGGAAATAGATGCTAGAATCTGAAACTGGAGAATTAAAAATGTAGTTCTTCTGAGAGGAATGCAGAGGGATTAATTAGGTACTTGTAAAAATTTTGAGGCTTAGAGAGAGACAAGCAAGTCCAGTATGATGTCCTCTTAATGTCAGTGGAAGGCTTTTACACATATACTTTCATCAACTACCATATTCCAACCAAAGTTCTAAATGCTTTGTATACTGTTTCTCATTGAATTCCCATGGTGGTCATATATTCTTATATCTATGTATTTTACACTTGATAACATGAAGGTCAAGAAAGGTCAAGTTAGGGGTTGAGCTAGAATTTAAATCCCACTCTGTCCAATTTCAAAGTTTTGCTTTTCTCCTTTTTACTCTGAAGAGTGACCCGAAAAAAGAAAATCAGTAATGACCACTTTTGCTGTAGCACTTTAATTTTAAGGTATAAAAAACATTATTAAATCTTTAAGAATTAAAAAGAATTATAGAGAAAAACAAATGAGTGTTTTAAAGGAGGGACCTTGTGAGATTTTTTTTTTTTCCATTTCCAGGAGTGCCTTTCTTGAACTGAGTTGTATGCCTCTCTTTCTCATACTACCCTCTGTCCACCCTAAGACAAATAGTTTTCACCCCTATTGAACTTGTGTATTTTGTTGTCTCTGCCACCAGACTTATATTTTGGTGCCAGGTATAGGTGCTTATAATCTTTGTATTTCTAGGGTCAAGAGACCTGGAATGCAGTAGGTGCTAAACACATATTTGCTGAATGAATTATACAAGTACTCATTTCATAGTCATTTTAATACATATTTACAGATTTGTGTTACTTTACTGTGATGCCAAATTTTAAGAGGCATACAATAATATTGAGTCTACCAATATCTAGAACACTACAAAAATATGATTCTGACTATGGTTATAAAGAGAATGCTTGTTATGCCACTGAATTTGTGAATAATATTGAGTGGCCTACAACAAGCCAGGCGGTTTTGAGTGTTTAATTTTGTATTTAGTTATTTAATTTTCACAAAACCCTTGTGAGAGAAATAAGCATCTCCATTTGAAAAATTGGGAAAATTGAAAACCCAGGATAAGAATGCAAGTAGTTCTGCTCTAAAATTTATGTGTTTAACAGCTAGGCTATTTTACCTTGTCATTGTTTATTAGTTATGAGATTTATTGTTGTTGTTATTTTTACATGACATCATAGTAGCAGCTTATAAAGAAAACACATAGATCTTATCCTGTTGCTTTTTGTCAACCGGAACTTCCTTTCTGCCAAAGACACTTGCTTTCTGCAAGAGGAACTCTAAGTATCTTGGGAAATTGCTGCTTTTGTACTTGAGCAACCTTTTTTCCTTCTCTGAAACCGATGAGTACTTTTCAATCAAAATTACTAGTTCACCGTAATATCAGGGACTCATATGTTAAGACTGTTTTCCCTAAAACATGTCCAATCGCACCTCTTAGGTGACTTTTGCTTTCCAGAGGCTTTCCGGTATGCAAATACCCCCCACGTCTTTGCAGACTCAGTCCAGCAGCTTTCTCAGCGGCAAAACTACACTTCCCAGTGATCTTTTCGTCAGCCTGAGCTCTTCCTTCCCTACTCCCGGAGCTACGCTGGGGCTCTGTGGGTGGGAGAAATAAAGGGCAGACAGTGGAGGCCCGTCCCCGTTCGTGCACCCTGAAATGGCTCAGAGGCAGGACAAGCAGAAAGAGGATGCTCCTTTGATGGCGGAAGGCAAGTCAGACTCGGAGGTTAAGCTCATTCTGTACCACTGGACTCATTCCTTCAGCTCTCAAAAGGTAAAGGCCTCTGCAGGGGCGGGAGCGCGGATCGGGTTTCAGCACCGGGACAGCTCCCTGCGGGCTCACCCCGGAAAATCAGCCCACTCAGAAAAAGGCCTTTTTTATTGCCTAAAGCCCGTGGGCGCTGATTTCAGGAAGGGAAGCGCCTCCTGGAGAGCAAGGCAAATCAGCATGAGATAGAAAGGCTATGGCCCAAGGCACTGCCACTCAAGAAATGCGACAAAAGAGCACTACTTTTGGTATTTGTCCCCTGGGCCTTGGAGAGTGGACCGTGGAGAGTGAAGCACCTTCTTGGAACCATATGATCTACACAGTTCCTTTTACTCTTTCTCATTCACATTAATTTTCTTTAAAAAGGCCTAACCTATCTATATTTTAGCTTTGTGTGTGTGTATGAATCTCTTTTTTTTAAAGATTTATTTATGCATAAAAGAGCTGGGGTACAGGCCAGAGGTGTGGGGGGTGAAAGGATTCACCAGAGACAGAGTGGGGAGCAGAACAGGCAGACTGACTGAAATACACTGCTGAGGGGAGCAACGGGTGAGTCAAGAGAGGTCTGCTGCGGCATGTGGGTAGCTCCCTGGCCGGCAGGGGATTGAACTCGTGCTGCAGAGGCTGTGGACAGCCCCATATGTTGCGTCTTAACCCCCTGCGCCACCAGGAAGGCCCGTGTGAATGAATCTTAATCAGGTTTAGGACATAAAAAAAGTAGTGGTGATGGAGAGGATGGCTAAAGAATTAATATAGCCAGAAAAAATTTCATTACTTATTACCTTTTCTAATTTGTAAGCGTACGTCACTAGACTAGCTCTCACTTGTTAATTCCAGCAATAAACATTAAACAATAATTCCAGCAATAAACATTAAAAAGAATAAAAAGAATGTTAAAAGTATCAATAATATATGAAAACAGAAAAGCCGCTTAGTGTTACCCAGGGATGTCCTGTAACTGAAAGACCACATGCTCTGTAGTAACCAGTGTGAACTCTTGCAGGTGCGCTTGGTAATTGCTGAAAAGGCATTGAAGTGCGAGGAACATGATGTAAGTCTGCCCTTGAGTGAGCACAATGAACCTTGGTTTATGCGTTTGAACTCAACCGGAGAAGTGCCTGTCCTTATCCACGGGGAACACATTATTTGTGAGGCCACTCAGATCATTGATTATCTTGAACAGACTTTCCTGGATGGTAATGTTAAGGCTCTTTGTGATTTTTTGGATTTACTTTCAACACAAATATGTGTCCCCTACCCTCCCTCCCCTTTGGCCTTCCTGTCCTCTCCCTCCTGTCCTTTTCCATTTTGGTGATGGTGGTTTAGTGATTAAAAAAACCTTTTCCATTTCCATAAGCACACAAATATAAAATAGTTCAATAGCAAATTTTGTATAAACTGGTGGAATTCCATATGAAAGAATTTCATGTAAATTACAAATTTTAATGTTGGAACTTCCAAATTCACTTGCAAAAAATCCTGCAGGTTTGTGGTTTACATAGACAATTTTATTAGTCTTGAAGTTAAGACTCTAATATTGATTCTAAAATACACTATGAAAATCAGTTTCAGGTAGTCTACAAATGGTTCCACCTTCAAAACAAGAGGGAAAATGGGACTAAATCTAAGGTAAGGGAGAATAGAATGTTGGTGTACTTTGAGATCTTTGTCCTTGTTACTCTATGGTTTGGATTTCATGTTTTTTTGTAAGGAATTGTAGGGTGAAGTTTGTATATTGCTCTTAAGTAATAATCATTTATTGACAACCTATTTTGTCAGTCATTTTATAATTTCTATTCTATTCAGTCTTCAAAAGAATCCATCTGAAGCAGGCTTGGTAGACTTTTTAATTCCCTTTTACATATAAGGAAAAAAACCCAGGGGTTGCTTAAGGCAATATAGTTATTTTTGTGTCACAGTAGGGTTGGTATACTACTCTTTTGGACTTTCATACTACGCTGTCTCCCAAGGTCACTGCCACTTATTCATTGTATAACTTGTTACTAGTGACAGCCCTTTGAAGTGAACTCTTGATTTACTGATTTGCCCAAGGTTACACAGCTGAACACTGACAGAACTGAGAGTAGAACACAGGGCTCCTAGCTTTCAGCTGAGTACTGTTCTGAAAAAGTGGCATGAGACCCAGTTTGTTCTTCATTTGGCACTAGTTATGTTTACTGAGCAGGATAAAACCAGAATATAACCCTGAATTACTGGAATCTGAGGAAGGCAATCACTAGGTCAAGAAATATCTGAGGTAGTTTAAAGAAAAACAAGTACAGACCTAAATAGTAGGAAACTGCAGGGAATTAGATTAGAAAGGACTACCCCTGTTCTTAATCCAAGTGATTAGTTTGCTAGGATTCTGATTGGAAGTTTAAAATAGAGGTGGCCTTTGATCTACAACAAAGAGTTTAATGAATTGCTTTCTCCTCTACCATTAATAGCTAACCATTACAAACCTATATACTAGGGGCTGTACTGAAATTGGTGGCTAATTGAATTAAGACAAATTTTTTCAACTGTAAGCTTTTTGGAAATGGATAAGTCCTTTAAATGATAATTTGTATTTCTTGGAAGAAGATATAATAATAATGTGAATATAAAAATTGATAGTGTAAGAATTCCATTTTTAAATAAGCACTTAAAAATGATATTTCTAATTCTTAAATAGAAAATATTTAAGTCTTTTTATTATCCTTTGAATACTACTACCATTCTCCTCCCCCTTTTACTTCTCTCCCTTGTCCTTTTCTCTTTTTATATTGTGTCTCCTAAGTAATTCAGTAATATAAAATGGTATTTATAACACAGTAATTATTATTAGGCTTATTTAAAATTTTCTTAGGCTTTTTTTTACTATAAACAAAATATATGCATTCTTAGTCCTGCTAAAGTAATACCTAAATAATTAAACAAGGGAAATACTAGGTTCTTGTTATTTTTTTATGTTGATGTATTGTTGATTTACAAAACTATATAAGATACAGAAGTATGGTCACACACATTGATAAATGCATGTCACAAAGGTACCCCCCCCAAAGATCTAGTAGGGTTCTTGTTCTTAATTACTATTTATTGAATTAGAGAAGAAGGCACTGTGGGCTAAATGTGCGGTAATACGGAAACTAAGGACTTTCCTGCCGGTTGTGCCAATAAAGCAAGTGAGCAATCAAGATTCCTTGCTCTTGCTCTGAAGCTGCCGTTAACCTGTTGTACATTCTTGGTGACTTCTGTCTTCCTGGATACGGTTTGGCCAGTTGCAGAGATAAAGCAGGCCAAATCAATTCTTACCTCACTTTCTCTCTTTTCCAAGAAAATAGTTATTCCATTGGAAAAGGTGGGAGACCTAGCTTGCTAATAAGTTATCAATAAAATCTAATATTAATATAAAAGGTCTGTGTGTCTCTAGTTGTCTAAAAAGTCTAGGTCTGTTCAGAACACGGTATATCTGAACTGGTTGGAACATGCAGTTTTTTGTTTAATTAAGAATTGAACTTTGAGGAATATTGATAAAAAAATTAGAATGTTTATAAGTGAATGGGTTTCATGAGGTATATAGCTGCCTAAAGTTATGCTAGGAAACTAAGTATATCCATTCATCCATTTTGCTGTCATTTGCTATTTGCAAGCCTATATTAGTCTATCAGCTGGTTATTGTACTAAAAATGATGACTTGCTGACATGTAGACCTTTCTCAACCATACTGCATTGTCATTATTTACATATTTACATTTTATGCCTATGCAGTAAGTTCATTAAGTGGTAGTTTTGGGGGAGTAATTTGAAAGTCAAGAAAGTCCTTTTCGAGTTTTGCCTAAAGAAACAATTATCTAAGCTCGGTGATGGCTATCCTGATTTCTTTGAAAGCAGTTACTTGAAAGAATAATGTAGACATCAGTGATATTTCTGAGGTCAGACTAGATCAAAGGAAGAATTTAGGAGTACTCAGCTATCGTAACTCAATCAAGGCCTGTCCAAGAGGCATCTCTTCATTTATTATTTCAGTCGCCACAAATTGGTTAGTGTTAACTGGTGCAAGGTCTGGGGTTATTTCAAAGATCCCAAATCATTAGAAGTTTACTAGTCAGCAAAGATAATTTCATTATATAAACTTAATAATGCCAAGCCTCTCTGTAATACATGCACGTGTTATTATTACTACTCAGATTTCTAGATTCCTCTTAATGAACATGGCACCTTTTTTTTTCTGGGTATGTAATGAAGAATAGTTACATTAATGCAACAATTGATTAAACTAGATGAGGAATGAGAATAAGCAAAGTTGAGACACTCAGAAACAGTGGATGTGACAGAGTGAATATACATACACACTAATATGAATTTGAAAAGCCAGGTATTTCTTATACAGTTCATAACCTCTTTCATTAAACTTTAGTTTAGTCACTAGATACTAGAATGTGGGCATGAAATAACTGCAACGTACTAGAACATATACTATTTATTACTGCCAAATAAGTCTGAGGTAACCAAGAATCAAGGTAGTTTACTATATTTTATATAGCAGTTCTCTGGAAATCATGTCCCATGTCTTATGTCTATATGTATTCTTTAAAGTCTTTTTAGGACTTAGAATTTGGTTTGTAAGTTTTTAAAATATTCTGCTAGGATACTAACGTATCATATATAAGCCTTAGTAGGAAATACAAATTTATTTTATGGAGATTATTTTATCAATATATTTTAAAAGTCAATTATATCTTTTTAAAAAGAACATTAATTTGGAAGTCACTGTCACATTAAAAACCTCTTATGCAAGGAATTTCCAGTTATTGTAAAGGTTCATAGCAAATAACTTTATGTCTATCAATCAGCGGCTCTTGTATGGAGCTGAATAACATTGCATGCTTTCTAGCACATCTACTGAAATTGTAGATAGTCATAGAGGTTCTATCTGAGTGTAAAGAAAATAAAACAGATGTTAAGGAAATTAATTAATCTTTAAAAGTCATGATTGTGGCAATGAAAGTGGCTTTAAAAAGTAAGTTTTTTGGGTTTACTCTGATTTGTCAAACTTTAGTGGATAGATGGGGGTATTAAAAGAGAGAGGCTCTAGTTGTATATTATGTATGTTCAACAACTGCAACAAACTTGTAAGGGACCCCCCAATTAAGAATGCTTTGGTTAAAAGTCTTAAATATAATACCAATTAAATTAAAACTTGTTAAACATTCAAGATACAAAATTTACTGAAAATAATGTTGCAGATTTGGTTCTGTCTCAAAAATCCTGAAAGCATATAGTGAACATAAATATTTTGACAGTGTGTGATTTTTCTTAACTGTGTTTAGATTTGCTTTTTCTAGTTTGTAGTCATACCTTTTGCTTCAGGTCCTAACTTAGTTGTTTACCATTGTTATATTTTTAATAGACTGGTATATGACTAGTTGAAGGATATGATTTTGTTCAGCTACATGATGCATATTAACTTATATACTAATATCATCACTAAATGATTTAAGTATAATAAAAAAATCAAAGGGGTAAAGTCTTCTGTGCTTTCATTTGGTGGATTAGGAAGACCTGAAAGCTATTCAAACAGATTTGGGGGAGATCTTTCTTGAAAACAAGGCTTAATAATACATCTTTTACCTGCCATCACTAGGGAAAGTAGGTAGTCAGAGCAGTGAATTTTGTAAAATAATGGAAGCGTATGCTTTTAAATTCTTAAGTTTTTTTTATTTTTTGCTCTTGGGGAAACCAAATGTAATTTTAAAAAGTGGATCAGGGCCATCGCAAGTCTACCAAGCCTTCCGGGGACTTGCCATGTACTGATTAAATGGCTGTACTCATTAAATGGCTGCATAATGCTTTTATTGTTTCTTTCTGATTTTTTTAAAAAACATCTTTTGTTTCCTCTCACTGTTGTTTGTCACATCTCTCAGCTTTATGTATCTGCTTGTTTCTAATTTCCTGCCTGATTTTAGGTGTAATGTAAAGCCCGCCTTATCCCCTACTCAGTTCTAGGAAATTAGGTTTTGTACCAACTTGATTTTTTTTACTCTTATTTACTCTTCCAGCTTAGTGACTAACCTGCCTTACACTACAGCAACACTGCTCCCATACTAGGGAATCTTCTCTTTGCCTTCTTCCTAAAGGCCCCCTGACTCCCTGTCCTCCCTGTCCCTGTAAACCTTCTATTACTCTCCCACTTCTGATTGAGGTAGAATACAAA